TTTGGTTCATTCGTATTATTAAACCAAAGAAATATTCTCAAAATAGATTACAAGTTTGTCTTCTAATCAAGAGATTGATTGCTTTCAAGATTCATTTGATTTACTCGAGTCTGAGCTCGAATTTGAGCTCATAGCATATCAATAACAATTAAGAACTTGATGAGACGATTTAAAAATTGAACAAAATTGAATACATTAAAACTCAAAATAGTCGGTTTGATTAATAAACCCACCCCAAAAACCATCCACAGACTTGCAAAGGAGTAATGCTAGAATGATTAAATTTTGAGATCAAATTTAGAGTTCAAATGACATGACAATTGATTATTTGAGGTTTTTATTGGGACCCAAATTACATGACATCATTCAAAGAAGCCCAAGTCAACTCCTATGTCATTTAGGCTCCAAATTTAATCATAAAATTTGATCAATCTAGCATTACTCCTTGCATAGACATACATGATATTAAATGCACTAGCGATTAGGTTAGTGTCACGTTGAGACAATGGTACATCATTGGAACACAATTAGGTTTGAATGACTACCATTTTGAAAGCACTTTTTTGAGGTGAAACCCTTCAGCTTCAGAAGTCCAATAGAATATCAAAACATAAATGATTATGATCGCTTTGAGATTTGCCGGCAGCCAATTTATATTACGATAAATATCTCCAAGTTCTAAGCTATCTTTTGGTATTTTTTTATTAAATAACTTTTTTTAAAAAAAAAATACTTTCATCAAAAAATAAAAAATATATCAAAACATAACATTAACATATTATATATATATATATATAATATGTTAATGTTATGTTTTGATATATTTTTTATTTTTTGATGAAAGTATTTTTTTTTTAAAAAAAGTTATTTAATAAAAAAATACCAAAAGATAGCTTAGAACTTGGAGATATTTATCGTAATATAAATTGGCTGCCGGCAAATCTCAAAGCGATCATAATCATTTATGTTTTGATATTCTATTGGACTTCTGAAGCTGAAGGGTTTCACCTCAAAAAAGTGCTTTCAAAATGGTAGTCATTCAAACCTAATTGTGTTCCAATGATGTACCATTGTCTCAACGTGACACTAACCTAATCGCTAGTGCATTTAATATCATGTATGTCTATGCAAGGAGTAATGCTAGATTGATCAAATTTTATGATTAAATTTGGAGCCTAAATGACATAGGAGTTGACTTGGGCTTCTTTGAATGATGTCATGTAATTTGGGTCCCAATAAAAACCTCAAATAATCAATTGTCATGTCATTTGAACTCTAAATTTGATCTCAAAATTTAATCATTCTAGCATTACTCCTTTGCAAGTCTGTGGATGGTTTTTGGGGTGGGTTTATTAATCAAACCGACTATTTTGAGTTTTAATGTATTCAATTTTGTTCAATTTTTAAATCGTCTCATCAAGTTCTTAATTGTTATTGATATGCTATGAGCTCAAATTCGAGCTCAGACTCGAGTAAATCAAATGAATCTTGAAAGCAATCAATCTCTTGATTAGAAGACAAACTTGTAATCTATTTTGAGAATATTTCTTTGGTTTAATAATACGAATGAACCAAAACTGAAATGAGCCTGAGTCACTTGGTTCGTTTCACAACCCTTGATCGGATTTAGATCCCCTCCATTGTCTCTTTTTTTCAATACCCTCCAATACAGTGTTGAATGAATGACATGTGTAAGATTTTAATTTCAATGAACAAGATTTTTTTTATCAAAAAATTATTTAATCATTGTTAACACACCACAACTAACAAATGAATAAGAAAATATTTTGTTCATTACAATTAAAATTTTACATGTATCACTCATCTAACACTGTTATTAGTGAATATTAAAGAAAAGAGGTAATGAAAAAGATCTAAATCCGAGAAAGAGGGCAACTGTATGACACTTTGTGTGTGTGTGTGAGTGAGAGAGAGTGAGAGAGAGGATATGCCATCAAATTGTGGGGCATGAAATATTGAATGGCCATGATGAAGGGCTAGGGTCTCCAATTAATGGCATTAAACCAAGATATTTATAACCTTAGTACTATGCTTCACAATAATAGTCCTTAAGAGTCGGTGGTATTATGATTGAGCTTACGAACTAAGACTTCAAAAGGGAATGAATAAAAGTGGGCAGACAATTAGTGCCCACAATTGACGAACTTTCCTTTTGGATTACAAAATAATCATCCCAACTTATGTCATACCATGAATAAAATCNCTCCACCGACCGAAGGCATGATGAAGAGTGTTATGCACTTGGGAAGGGATTTGTTACTGTTGGGTGTGTTCAAGGCAATCAAATAAATTAGCGTTGCAGGTGGGGCTTCTCACGTGCACACGCATATCGATTACTTATTTTTCATTTACTCATTTTTCAAATTTTTTGTAGTGATTTTCATTGGGTTTTGTTTTTTGCCCCAAAATTTTGTGCATTTTTTTGTGTGAAATCTTTTATGATCGGAGGATTTTCATGTTTAAACGTCATATGTGACTATAGGATCAATTTGCCTTTTTCACATACATGATCGGGGTGTGGCGTCATTTTCATGGATATATTGCAATGTTTTTTTATGATCAAATTGGGTGGAAGGGCCTATTACAGGTGGTTTTGCTGAAAATCAACAGAGGATAGGAGGGGTTCAAGGCAGTTGTTACAATACCTGTTAATAGTTAGAGTAGTTTTAGATAGAATCATTAATTATATGATTCTTTGTGTGGAAATGTTGTAGCTCTACCAACTCAGAGTAATGGGCATAAATGTTAGGATTGCTTGGTGGGCTTAATCAGATGGTTAGTGGTTCAAGACTTTTACATGCTAAAATGGAAAGTGGACTCATCTTTGATCAATCCCAGCTTTAGCATTTGAACCTTGGCTCATTTGAAATTGATGTTTTGGTTTGAAAATTAGCAAACCTTTATAGGATATTCCTCGAGTGTTTTTGGCTCTGTATGATTTTTGTCCTAGTTATTGTGAAGTCAGTGCTGTCACTGTTCTGTCCAAAAAAAAAATGTTATCACTGTGCAGTTGTTATTTCATTTTTGTCTTTATTTGTTGTAGTATAGTTATCCTGATGATTGTTCTCCCTCGTGAATTGATTCTTCATGAACCTTTGAGTTTTTGACTGGATTAAAGACATGAGCTAAGCCTAACCTACGTTTGACAATTTTGGCCCAATTTACAAACCGAGCCCAAGCCTTTGGATCTAGGCTGGTCAGTATTGATGCCATGAGAACATAAATATGTATTGTCATAATCTTGCTCTATATTTTCAATTTTATATTCATTTTGCTTTTTCAAATTGAAGGTGCTACAACTTTGAAGTGAACTGAGTTGTCACATGGCTCCTCTCTGTGATTTTTAGTGAGATATCAAATTTAATTGCGGCATCATGATTTGTTTCATTAAAATTTTGTTATTTAAAGTTTTGTTTTCTTGTGAATTTTTTATGATTCTCGTCATTTATCATCTGATGATTTTCGTTATTTAATATCTGATCCATGAATCCCCATTTTTTAATTGACATTTTTTTTTATTATACAGACACAAGAATTTTCTAGAGTTTTTGCTTCTTGGTCTGTGTTTTCATCTTTCTTGATTTGTTTAATGTTCTTTTTTTGAGTTAGTTTTGTTTAGCTCTTTGCTTATTTTCTTTCATGCTATAGGTAGCAGTGGTTTTGAAAGAGTGTGGTGACTTTTTTTGGTGTGTTTTTAAGAAGTGTCGTAGGCACAGGCAGATGTGTAGGATTTTGTTTCAATTGTTGTACTATTTGGATTTTTTCGTTGTCTCGGTATACGCTGGGGTGGCTTAAGACAATTTGAGACCAAAAACGATATTTTTAAATGAAGCCTTCTATGTTTAGTGTTAATATTTTTTGGTTCTAAACCATGTCCCTTATATTACAATGAAAACTTGAGCTGATAATGAAGGATGGAGTGGAGGCTAAGTCATCGTCACCAAGTCAGTCACCTGAGTGATCTGTGACTGTGAGTTTTCTGCTGTAGCACTTGGCAAAAAAAAAAACATTGATTTGAGTAACGAGTTCGGTGATTTCTCAAGTCTTGAGAGCACTGTGAGAGAGAGAGAGAGAGAAGAAGAAGAGTTTATTTTTTTATTTCAGTTCAATGAGAGAAAAAAAATTTGTTTTTATATAGTTGATTTGGTTGGTTTTCTGTGTGTGAGAGAGAGAGAGAGAGAAATGGAGTGTTAAAAAGAAGATATGATTTGACGTTTAAATTATTTTGTTGGATTTAATAAAACCTTTCAGTTTTTTTTTTTTTTATTGTTAATTTGTTTTAGATATTTAATGTTTGGATTGAATTATGAGCCTAAAATAATTGATTGGGCTTATATTTTTATAAGATTTTTTTTTACATGGATTATTTACGATATTGATTTTTTACACCTGCTGTTGGGCTAGCCTTGGGTATACGGGGAGATTCCTACCAAACAGCCACGCTTTTTTGCTCTTAGGAAACTTCAAATCCCTGACCTCCCAATGAAAAGGCAGAGGTTCTGGCCAACTGGGCTACTCTAGTTGGTTGGATTTTATTGTTGTGGTATGCTTAAATGTTGAAATTTGTTTGATTTAATGTTTCATAAAATTGTGGGGTGATCATGTCATTTGATTTTTATTAAACATCCCATAAACGTGAAAACGATCACAAATAACATCAAATTACTTGAGTTCTAAATGAGTTGAATTAGAGATTGCTTGAGATTATTTGATTCTTGAAGTTTGTTTCAAAATTGGTATTTGGGTTTGTTTGAAAGTTTAAGAAATCTGCTATATGTGGTAAATCTGCGATAGAAAATTGTACAAAACAACAAAATTATAGTGAATATGTTACTTTTAGATCTCATTGCATTTTTCGCCAAATGATCATTAACTAACGAGTATACAAGAAGTTGAATGCGAGTGGACATTTTGTGATTTTTTTTAAACAATGGAACAAATCCGAATCGGACCTAAATAGACTGCAATGAATAGTCAGACTAGTTCACTGTTGGCATAAGCCAATTTTCCGGGTCCTGGGGATTCATTCTGATTGAAACAACGGGCGGGTCTTTACCTGCTTCAAAATTCTNCATGTGTAAGATTTTAATTTCAATGAACAAGATTTTTTTTATCAAAAAATTATTTAATCATTGTTAACACACCACAACTAACAAATGAATAAGAAAATATTTTGTTCATTACAATTAAAATTTTACATGTATCACTCATCTAACACTGTTATTAGTGAATATTAAAGAAAAGAGGTAATGAAAAAGATCTAAATCCGAGAAAGAGGGCAACTGTATGACACTTTGTGTGTGTGTGTGAGTGAGAGAGAGTGAGAGAGAGGATATGCCATCAAATTGTGGGGCATGAAATATTGAATGGCCATGATGAAGGGCTACGGTCTCCAATTAATGGCATTAAACCAAGATATTTATAACCTTAGTACTATGCTTCACAATAATAGTCCTTAAGAGTCGGTGGTATTATGATTGAGCTTACGAACTAAGACTTCAAAAGGGAATGAATAAAAGTGGGCAGACAATTAGTGCCCACAATTGACGAACTTTCCTTTTGGATTACAAAATAATCATCCCAACTTATGTCATACCATGAATAAAATCATCCCTTGACCTAACGTGTCGGTAATATTGGCAATTATTCACAAAATCTTTTAGTCCGACACAAAATCGATTAAACGTGAGTTTAGCTTTAATAAGTTTTGACCGAAAACAAATTAATTATTTGAACCCAATTGATAAATTGTCACAAGTTAATCTGACATAATACGAAGTTAACTACAAATAACTTAAAGAGATAAGTATAGCTGATAATTAAGCCGAGTTTTATGAATTCAAATAGGGTCTATTGAGCTCATTTTTCAAAACGGGGCTAAACATTTGTTCAAGCTTGTTTCATTTTCCAAAAGAGCCGATCCCAAAACGAACTGAATTCGAGTAAAGCTCGAGTAACTTGATTATTTTACATTTAAACGAGTTAAGCTTTGCAAACTCGAGTCATGCCTTTTAGGTTCATTTTTCTAATAAGATCTACTTATAGAAAGAATAAAAATTTTCGAATAACTCTTTTTTCTTAACTATGTTATTGATTACTAATAAACAACCCCGAGCCACAGAATTTGGTTTTTGACCAATAGCTACATAAACTCATATTACATTTTGACCTTATTGATCGAGAATCATATCTGTGGCTACTACTATTTTACTGGTCTATTGGAAAACAAAATGAGTCCAAAACTANGTCACTGTTCTGTCCAAAAAAAAAATGTTATCACTGTGCAGTTGTTATTTCATTTTTGTCTTTATTTGTTGTAGTATAGTTATCCTGATGATTGTTCTCCCTCGTGAATTGATTCTTCATGAACCTTTGAGTTTTTGACTGGATTAAAGACATGAGCTAAGCCTAACCTACGTTTGACAATTTTGGCCCAATTTACAAACCGAGCCCAAGCCTTTGGATCTAGGCTGGTCAGTATTGATGCCATGAGAACATAAATATGTATTGTCATAATCTTGCTNAATAAATCTGTCGCGCACCAGCGACATTGCCTAGTACTTCTTCCATGTGAAAGTACTTATACCACAACTGATCAACCCTAGGCAACAACGTTACCGCGCGGTCCCAGACATTCCGAGCACGATTGATGAATTTATTCTTCATCCCGAAATCGGCGTACTTAAACCAACTAGAGTGGTCACGGTAATCGACTTCTAAGGCACTTTCCCAAACAGACCGGGCTCGATTGAAATCCGCATTTTGGGACTCTTCCCAGTTGGCGTAGTTGTTCCATCGGAGGGGACTGGTGGGTAAATATATATAGAGTGAAGGAGGCGGTGATTTGAATCCTAACAGGAGAAGGGTTCGGATTAGGAAAGAGTTTGCATAACAACTTCATTAGGAAAACCCAAAAACATATGTCTTCTTCTATTTACACACAATTATGCTACTAATCATGTCTTTATCTCGGATGCTCAGTTCAATCTTCTTCTCTNATTAAAATTAAAAATATATTTTTTCCATCTTAGTTAGGGATGAAAATTTTCGACTCGACAAGATAACACGATTTGAATTCAATACGAATTTTATGACATGAACTTGATTATATCTTGACATGAACTTGCAAATGATCTGACACGCGAACTTAAAAACGACCTGACTCAATTCGAATCTGACGCGACTTGATTGTCACTCCTAATCTTAATCAACACAAAAAAAAAAAAATTAGTCATTTTTATTTTTCATCCATCCAACCAAATACAAATGAAGGAAAGTGTATTATTTCTACTTTCTTTTCTTGAAGGATAAAAAATGTATCTCTCTTATTTTTTACCTTTCTTACCAAACGGAGCATAATTATCGAGATAACAAGGGAAAGGTTAACTAGTCGTACCACCTAGAAAGTTATTCCTTAACCTCTTGTGATGTTATTTATAGTGAATGAATAATGCATAACTTTAGTTATCATTCACTTTGTTGATCATTTTTCACCAATGTAATTATAATTTATAATGTGCCTCTTTGTCAGGAGTTGCTTTTTTTTTTTCAAGTCAAGGATAAAGATTTCTTGGCCATATTTTTCTTCTAAGTTGGTAATAATTGTGTTTGATCCTGTTTTAGGAGTCTCTGATTCCTCTTGAAAATTCAAAAATTGGTATGAATGCTTGAATTAAATAAAGTGAGGATGGCAATGTATTGAAGAAGTTTTTTGGGTTCTCCTTTCTTTTTCTTTTTTTCGACGGTCAATGGTATTCAAATTAATTTATGCGCACACCGGAATTAGGGTATTATACATGAGGAAAAAATCTCTCATGACCTAACTCCAAAGGATTATTAAAATTAAAATTTAGGATTTTTAGATTTATAACTCGTCTTTGTTACCACTTAAGGTATCGAATTCCTCAAAATGTGATAAGAAAATTGGGGTGATTAGTGAGTCATAACCAAAACAAAGTAGGATCAAAACTTTGAAATCGCCAAAGTAATTGTAGCATAGTTGGTGAAAAATTGACTTAGAAATGTCATAACTACATCGTATGCGTATCATATGTATCAGACTAATCATAGTATTTTGTGCAAATATAAAACATGGTAACACGAAATAATAATTCTAAGACCTTTGTATCTCAACTATATATGATTAAAGTAATTGCAGAAAACGTGTGCCATTAAACATATTATGTTTTTTTCTTGTTTCAACTAGACTAATCAAGTATGTCGGCATCTTACTTTGACTTTTTTTAATGGCTAAAATATCCCTCTTATTTGTCACCGTCATGTATATGATGATTGTATATATTGGCAACATTTTATATTAAAGTGTGAAAGTCAAAGAGCAGTTTCGGTCATTCGAAAAATTCAAAGTTCCAGCTAAGCGTTCACTTTCTCCTCCAAGTCTACACGTAAATGGCTTTTGTTTTCAAAGCTTAACGTCACCGTCCCCATTGAATTGTGATCTCCACCACCACCACCACCACCACCACCCCCACCCCCCTCAACCGTCTCTCTGGGCCAATTATCCCATCTTTGACCGAAATGTCACAAATTTTTCATCACAATGTTTCATCCTCATCCTCATGTGATGGTATCAACGCGTATAAACAAGATTATAACTTATCTTGATATTTTGGATGAAAAAAATTTTAAGAATTTCAATTTCAAAGTATTTAATCTATTTTAATTTTTTGGTCAGTCTAATGGGAATATGTAAATTTACATTGTAATCACGGACCTAAGGAATACATTAACGAGTCGAGTTTTTATTATTCAAAAAACGAAAATATAAGACTCTTTAGTAACCAATAAGCCTATTTATTAGATCAAATTTGGATTAGATTTTAGTTGATTTACATTCATGCCTAACTTGAAATATCATATTCAAATACCCGAGTGATTTTATTTTCATTATTCACATTCGAATTCATGAAAATAAAAATNCAAGCCTTTGGATCTAGGCTGGTCAGTATTGATGCCATGAGAACATAAATATGTATTGTCATAATCTTGCTCTATATTTTCAATTTTATATTCATTTTGCTTTTTCAAATTGAAGGTGCTACAACTTTGAAGTGAACTGAGTTGTCACATGGCTCCTCTCTGTGATTTTTAGTGAGATATCAAATTTAATTGCGGCATCATGATTTGTTTCATTAAAATTTTGTTATTTAAAGTTTTGTTTTCTTGTGAATTTTTTATGATTCTCGTCATTTATCATCTGATGATTTTCGTTATTTAATATCTGATCCATGAATCCCCATTTTTTAATTGACATTTTTTTTTATTATACAGACACAAGAATTTTCTAGAGTTTTTGCTTCTTGGTCTGTGTTTTCATCTTTCTTGATTTGTTTAATGTTCTTTTTTTGAGTTAGTTTTGTTTAGCTCTTTGCTTATTTTCTTTCATGCTATAGGTAGCAGTGGTTTTGAAAGAGTGTGGTGACTTTTTTTGGTGTGTTTTTAAGAAGTGTCGTAGGCACAGGCAGATGTGTAGGATTTTGTTTCAATTGTTGTACTATTTGGATTTTTTCGTTGTCTCGGTATACGCTGGGGTGGCTTAAGACAATTTGAGACCAAAAACGATATTTTTAAATGAAGCCTTCTATGTTTAGTGTTAATATTTTTTGGTTCTAAACCATGTCCCTTATATTACAATGAAAACTTGAGCTGATAATGAAGGATGGAGTGGAGGCTAAGTCATCGTCACCAAGTCAGTCACCTGAGTGATCTGTGACTGTGAGTTTTCTGCTGTAGCACTTGGCAAAAAAAAAAACATTGATTTGAGTAACGAGTTCGGTGATTTCTCAAGTCTTGAGAGCACTGTGAGAGAGAGAGAGAGAGAAGAAGAAGAGTTTATTTTTTTATTTCAGTTCAATGAGAGAAAAAAAATTTGTTTTTATATAGTTGATTTGGTTGGTTTTCTGTGTGTGAGAGAGAGAGAGAGAGAAATGGAGTGTTAAAAAGAAGATATGATTTGACGTTTAAATTATTTTGTTGGATTTAATAAAACCTTTCAGTTTTTTTTTTTTTTATTGTTAATTTGTTTTAGATATTTAATGTTTGGATTGAATTATGAGCCTAAAATAATTGATTGGGCTTATATTTTTATAAGATTTTTTTTTACATGGATTATTTACGATATTGATTTTTTACACCTGCTGTTGGGCTAGCCTTGGGTATACGGGGAGATTCCTACCAAACAGCCACGCTTTTTTGCTCTTAGGAAACTTCAAATCCCTGACCTCCCAATGAAAAGGCAGAGGTTCTGGCCAACTGGGCTACTCTAGTTGGTTGGATTTTATTGTTGTGGTATGCTTAAATGTTGAAATTTGTTTGATTTAATGTTTCATAAAATTGTGGGGTGATCATGTCATTTGATTTTTATTAAACATCCCATAAACGTGAAAACGATCACAAATAACATCAAATTACTTGAGTTCTAAATGAGTTGAATTAGAGATTGCTTGAGATTATTTGATTCTTGAAGTTTGTTTCAAAATTGGTATTTGGGTTTGTTTGAAAGTTTAAGAAATCTGCTATATGTGGTAAATCTGCGATAGAAAATTGTACAAAACAACAAAATTATAGTGAATATGTTACTTTTAGATCTCATTGCATTTTTCGCCAAATGATCATTAACTAACGAGTATACAAGAAGTTGAATGCGAGTGGACATTTTGTGATTTTTTTTAAACAATGGAACAAATCCGAATCGGACCTAAATAGACTGCAATGAATAGTCAGACTAGTTCACTGTTGGCATAAGCCAATTTTCCGGGTCCTGGGGATTCATTCTGATTGAAACAACGGGCGGGTCTTTACCTGCTTCAAAATTCTCGATTTTAAGGATATATATATATATATATATATATATATATATATATATATA